CCCTATACGCCCTCCTCATGCTGTTTGCCAGGTCCAGAGTCTCTCATGGGTCCCTGTACGGCCTCCCATTGCTGCTGTCTCCATCGCCACACTCTGCCATGTGCCACTTTCAGGTCTCCTCACACACTGCTGGTGTGTTCCATTTTTTGTCATAGGGTGCTGACAGATTACGGGCCTCCCATTGCTGCTTGCCAGGCCTGTAATCTGCCATGGGCCCCCGTACCGCCTGGTCACGCTGCTGCTGGGTCCACAGTGTGACATGGGTCCCTGTACCGCCTCCCATTGCTCCCACTCTGCCATGTGCCACTTTGAGGTCTCCTCACACTCCTGCTGTTTTCCATTTTGTCATAGGTTGCTGGCAGATTACAGGCCTCCCATAGGTGCTGCCAGGCCCCAAATCTGCCATGGGCCCCCCCCGTACCACGCCTCGTCACGCTGCTGCTGGGTCCACAGTGTGACATGGGTCCCTGTACCGCCTCCCATTGCTCCCACTCTGCCATGTGCCACTTTGAGGTCTCCTCACACTCCTGCTGGTTTCCATTTTGTCATAGGTTGCTGTATGGCCTCCCATTGCTGCTGCCTCCACCGCCACACTGTGGCTCCAAACACTGGTTTTGGCCCCGTGACTGGCCAAATGAGTGAAGTGTGCGGTGATTCTAAGATCGACGGCACTCATCTGCATGTCATACTGACTGACAGTATTATTTCTCTTCCCCAGCAGACTCCAAGGGCATTTAAATTAAAGGTACAGTGTTCTGCACTAATATTAAGTCTCTCTGAAGCCTAGAAACACCCTTTTTTAAGTTAAATTCACAGCGAATATATTCGACTCGAATCGAATATTGTCCACGAATTCGCCGAATCAGTCGAATCGAATTTTTGAATACTTCGCTCATCTCTAATAGTTATGTCTACTACTAGGCCAGGGGTGGGCAACTGTGGCCCTCCAGCTGTTGTAGAACTACAAGTCCCATGAGGCATTGCAAAACTGACAGTTACAAGCATGACTCCCAAAGGCAGAGGCATGATGGGACTTGGTAATTCACCAACAGCTGGAGGGCCACAGTTGCCCACCCCTGTACTAGGCAATAGGTATGTGAATGTGTTCAGTTAAATAGTCTTTCTAGTGCATACTAGGCTTTTGGATAAAGATGCATATGTACAACATAGCTGTCCATAAGTGGCTATGCTTACTCCTCCACTGTATCTATGGAGGGAGCCATGGTTGCCACCCAGGGTGAACTACAAATATGTTTGCCTTGCACATCTTCATTACATGGAGAAATAGGAAATAAAGGTAGTTTGCTTGCTGAATTTTCAGCCTGAACAAAGAAAACTAATGCAGATACCACATCTAAGGACCCCTTAAAGTTACTACCCTCATAGTACTTTTATGTATCTGTCTATCTCTCACAAGACTGCTTTTTGTCAAATGTTCAAAGGCATATCACAATAACATTCTGTAATCATAGGCATTACAATGTAGCTGCATATTACAATATAACCCTGTTTATCAACTAAGGAGTGCCACATCTCAATATCACTTTTTACCAGACAAAGCTTTTCGAGTATAACTTCACGGGGATTTCCAGAGATTTTATAATCACAACAGTGGCATCCTCTAAAAAATTCTTCTCACCCTTTATCAAATTGCAATCACTGCTCAGGGATTCCCCTTTCAGTTGGTATGTACACACTGGCTGTAGCATTGTCTGTACTTGCATTTAACAAATAAATGGATGAATAAATTTTGGCCCATGTTGCTAAATTTAGTGCAAGAATATTTGGCAAATTTAAAAAGGGAGCAATAAGCAACAGTATATTATCTACTCCTATTAATTTTATCCAAAATGATTTCCTTGTTGCCACTGCTGCATGTATAATTATTATGCAGCTATAATCAAATGAGCCACTTGTGTTACTGGTCCCCACCTCAAAACCATGATCTCCCGTGACTATAGCTAGACTGTTGTACTTACTATAAATATACAGGAGTGTACAAAACAAGCATGACCGGTTCCAAGTCAGTGCTTCATTTTTTTATTTATTCAATCTTTTTTCTGTGTGTAATTCTAACCTGGAGCATTGCACAAGAGAAGGTGTTTTAAGAGCAACATAGGGTAATTATAATTTCATTTACAAGCACCATGTATTCTTACAAACACTTCATTGCATTTAACACCTGTTTGAGAAGGTTGTTTTTAAAAAGGTATAACTATACCAAAATTAGAAAAAAAAAATCGCTGTCCAATGACTAAGGCTGGCCATACATTATACAATTTTCTTGAGAATTTTGCTTTAGATTTACCAAAAACCATATAATATGAGGTCAAACCTAAACAATACTTTCAATTCCATCCAATCAGGCAGGCCTTTGCACTACATAGTTGAAGGTAAATCTAAAGCAAATTGGACAGAAACTTGTAAGAAAATTGTAGTGTATGGCCAGCCTAAGGGACCAATAAAAAGCTGCAGTAGATATGAAAAATTGCAGCAGGCTTGGTTGTCTTCGGTTATAATGGCCAAATAGCTGATCCACTTTTGTATCATAAATTTCAACAGACAAAGCCTTGGGCCTCTTGTACATGGTGAAAAAAACACACATTTTTTACTGATCTGAACCCAATGTATTATTGTCTATGAACAATGCACACAGCTGCTTAAAGATCAATAACACAGCGTTGAGTTCAGAGTAGTAAAATAGAAATAAAAAATGTTATGCTTGAGTACAGTAATTTATGCATATCCGCATGTATATAAGTGTATATCACAACAATGGCAACTAGAAGAGGATAAAGAAGAATTTTACGCATGCTTACACACCTAGAAAACACAAGGTCTTTACGGAACATTTTACTAAGGATCTTTTTGCCAGCAAAATCACACATAAACATCAGTAAATTATTACGTCTTCTTTAAAATGACCTATCTAAAAAATAATTAATACAAAGTGATCTGAAAATAATATTTGCATAGTGAACTTGCACACATACCTTTCCTTGCAGTGTTCACATTACTGTTATCATTTTCAATACCTTCAAACATAAATTTATAGTGAAGAGCAGGTTCTCCAGACAAGTAAATTACAGTGACTTACAGTGAAAACTCACAGCCTTATAATGAAGGTACATTTGATGTTATATTTAAATACCAATGAACTTGATACAAAAAAAAAACCCCGTCTCCATTCTCATTAAGCAATACATTTGCTCAGATGAGTCAGCACCATTGCTGACTAGTAACTTTATTTTTTAATTGAAGAACTCAATGATAGGAATGTAAAAGTAGAATGCCTATTGGCATTTTTTTGCATTGCATTTGTATCGCAGCAAGAGACCTGAAAATGGCTCAACCGCAGAGGAATTGCAGAGGAATTGGAAGTCAAGAGGAGCCTAGTTCCTCTATGGTTTCCTGGGTCACAGGGGGCAGCAGCTATCTATTTGGATGCTGGAACCTCATGTGACTTTGACAGCCATCTTGAGTCAGGCAGAGTCTACTTAAGACTCTGGCTCATGGGATTGGCACGCATTTCACGTATATGGACAGGTTTAGCATCAGGGAAAGGATATTTAGCATCGGGAAAAACCTGACAGGCTGGTTGTACGCAGGTCGATCAATGTGTGTGCAACCAGCTGGTGCATACATGGGTCGAAAATCGGCTGGTCCCTGCCTAAGGCGCGCCACATCCCGTGACAGTGTGACATACCTTTGTTTAACATAATAAGCATTCATAATCATCAGATCAAGAGAGAAAATGGTGATCATAAATGGTTTATGCATATAAAGAAAAGCACATGATTACGATGCATGGATAATGACCATGTTCAAAGAAGATATGATAAAACAACATAACAAATAAAAAAAAAGTTTTAAAAACTCCATATCTAAACTTATGGATTCTCAACCCTACACCTGACACTCTCTTCACCCTATCAAATTTGCCTCTACTTCCTCTGAACTAAAATTTCAGCAAATCCAAATGTCTACCAAAATCCTGATCCAGATCTCCACCAACATATTCTTATACATGGGTGTAGCAACAGGTTTCACAATTGTGACTCCGCCCATGCTCCAGGGGGCTCCCTGTCATATTAATATACCCAGACAACTCGACATATTCCCGGAGTCTGGCTCAAATCTGGTTTGTGTCTAGCAGCTGAGTGGTGGGATGGTTCCGGTACTGGGTTCCCACTTTGCCTTCCACTCCACACCCCTCTGATCTCATTGGCTCAAGAGCATATCTTGTGGCTCAACAGAATCCCTAGTGGAGGGAGGACAAGGAAGTGTCAATGCTGACAGTTGGCCGGAAACAGACACAGAGTTGCCACAGGGCTGAGTGAGGAGAGTGCTGCCCGATCGCCGGGACAATGAGATAAGGCACCACTCAGGTCTATGTCACCTAATTGGAACCCTCTGTACCCCGCACCCACCAGGAATGTCCCCTGCACCCCACACACCTGCTGACACTAACAGAACAATTGCCTATACTACTTAAGAATCCTGTATCCAGAAGTTCTACCCCCCCCCCCCACACACACACACACAGTCTTCTGGAGCACCTGACAGGTCCCAGAGGACTACGGGACCATTCAAAATGCACAGCACATATCGCAAATGCGTAGTGAGCACCTGACTGTGACATCTGCAAAGCTGTCAAAGCTGAGTGCCCACAGCCGAGTGTCACAGTCGATGCTGCAGGGACACAGGAAGGCCGGTGAATCCTGGAACAGTTCTGGAATAAGTGGCAAGGGGTACCAGTTCTTAATGGTTACCTTGTTAAGATCTTGGTAGTCCACCCAAGGTCAAAGTGTAAGGTCCTTTTTTTTTTCTATGAAAAAAATACCATCCCAGGCCATTGATATTAATGGATGGATAAACCCCATTATTAAGATTGTCATAAAAATATTTGCAAAGCTTCTCCAACTCCAGTTCAGAAAGCGGCTGGGAGTTCTGTTTTGTCATATTTGAAAATTAAAGTTTTGTGTATCTGTGTTCCTGGCCATTTTCTTTTATCTGTTGCAATCTTCTTTTTGTTGTTGTAGCTTGCACTTATTTGCTGTAGCAGGCTATGCTTGGGTGTCTGTGCCCATAATCTGCTAGAGATTCTCTATATAGCCCTACAGAACAGACAGTGCACAGTCTACATGTGTTTATCTAATGCTTCTCTGCAAACAGGAAACAGGAACTTTTATTATAGAGAAAAGACATAGATTTTAACCATAGATGCAGCTAAAAACCTATAAACACTGCCATCTAGTGGTTGAAGAAAATATCTTTACTGATAACTTCTACTGATGTAGTTCTTGTACAAAAATACATGAACATTGTAATCCAAAGGCACTTCCTTTCCCCTGAACAGAGGAGGAATACACCCAAATAGCTTGATGTGCTAGCATTTCAAACCTCAGACTGGAATTTTCTAACTATTTGTGCAGTGGAAGAGTAGGTTTATTAAAGATCAGTAAACTAAAGGGAAGAGGGTTGGAGCACAGCATACCCCAAAATAGGTAAAAATCCCACATGAAAGAAAATATATTTTAAAAATATTCTTCTCAAATATATTGACATATATATGAAATGCTACAATTTTGGCCATATTCAATATATTTCAATATATATATATATATATATATATATATATATATATATATATATATTGAATATGGCCAAAATTGTAGCATTTCATATATATGTCAATATATTTGGGAAGAATATTTTTAAAATATAATTTTCTTTCATGTGGGGGATGATTCAATACTTCTCTACTAC